GAACAATCTTTGGACTTATTTGTATGTGTCGAGATTTTTCTGATGTTTAGCAGAAATTTACATTCTTGTGATTTTCAAAACAAATTTGGTTCCTAGGCATAAAAGAACAAGCAACAAGCCCATTCTTTTTACTAATGCTGGTCCTTCAGATTGTCGAAGACTGCTCTCTTATACAATCAAAACACAGCCCCTCCTTCAATTACTGTTTTTATGCTGTGGTTTTTAGCTCTTTCATCATCCTGATTTACTCTCCTGTCAACTGACTCTAGTTTGTCAATGTCCTTTTTTTAAATTTCATTTTAATTTATTTATTTGACGGAGAGAGAGAGAGCACAGCAAGGGGAGCGGGAGAGGGAGAAGCAGGCTCCCCAATGATCAGGGAGCCCGATGGGGGGCTTGATCCTAGTACCCTGGGATCATGACCTGAGCCAAAGGCAGACGCTTAACCGACTGAGCCACCAAGGCGCCCCAGTCAATGTCCTTCTTAAAATAAAATTACTTTTGTTACCAGTAATTTTATTTTTTTAAGTACGCTATTTAAATGTCATAAGATGGTAGTATAAGACTTAAAATTTCTATAAATTTAGAGGTTCCTCTAAGAATAAATTTGTGATGATTCTTTAGATCTTTAAGTTCAAAAATTTGAAAAGCTAACTTTAATTAAGTAATAGATATATTTTTCTGGCAGCTGTCAAACGGTTGTTGGAGGATTGCTTAGATCACATAACCAAATCTATTCCTTATAGCTTAAGATTATCTGGCTTGCTCTGACCACTTGCTAGTTGAACTTCAAAAGAATTTAAACAAATAAATAACAAAATACCACGCTTGTTTTGGTGTGAGGAAAAAGTTTAGTCCTATGGCTATTACCTGCTAGGAACTAAACCCAATGTTTAATAATAATAATCAGCTCTTTCCTGGGCTCAACAAAATGTTTGATGTGGTTGGTACAAGCCTCTGATGAGGGTATTAGCCTTCATTTAAAAACGATCATTAGTTTGAGTTGGCATTGCAAACATTACTAAATTGCTGATAATATCCTTCATTACCAGGCAAGAATTGTCCTTTTCAGTCCTGTACATATAATTTATCATCCATGCCAAGAATATTATAAGAAATTGTAAAGTAGCTTAATCGTTCAGTCTCAAAAGAAGGCAATGAATCCTACAGAAGAAAAAGTAGCAAATAAAATAGAATTATATAGAAATAAGTTAGAAAACGTAAGGAGGGCTTGAGCTCCTCTACTTCTGAAATGGTTTTACTATCTGGCACATAGTTATGATCATTAAATGTTTGCTAGATGAATAAAAATGTTCAAGCGCTAGGGATAATTCTACAGTGGGGACAACAAATTATAAGGAAGGTAGTTGGCTTAACCAGAATATCTTGTAATTTATTTTCAATTTCAATTTCAATTTTTACTATTTATTTTTATTTATTTTTAAAGATTTTATTTATTCATTTGAGACACAGATACAGAGGGAGAGCATGAGCAGGGGGGAAGGCAGAGGGAGAGGGAGAAGCAGGCTCCTCGCTGAGCCAGGAGCCCGACGTGGGGCTCGATCCCAGGACCTTGTAATCATGACCTGAGCTGCAGGCAGGTGCATAACCATCTGAGCCACCCAGGTGCCCCTACTATATTTTTAATTTCAACATTTTTGAGAACTCAATATGAGTTCAACATAGCACTATGGTCATTAAAAATACTCAAATATTTTAACATTGTGTAATTTAATCTCTTATTATCCAAATTTATATATTATAAATTACTTCTTTTTTCTCTTTCCTTCCTTCCTTCTTTCTTTCTTTCTTTCTTTCTTTCTTTCTTTCTTTCTTTCTTTC